ATTTTTAATCGACCTGCCGTCAGGACGAAGATACCGCCGGGCTGGTGGATGTTTGCGGATTCACTCCGAGCGAAAGTCGATCTTCCCGGACGGTGCAGTTTTCGAAGGATTACGTTATCGACACCAGACGTTCCGAAGTCGGGGAAATACCCCGACCATCGGCCGTCTCGTCGCCGAGGGACGAGATCGAGGTTGGATCGATGGATCGCGAGACGAAGCGAAAGGACGAGGTTCGTAAATGGAGAACGGAATACAGCGAAACTTGTCGGCAATGGGTGACGTAAAAAAATCCAAGCACTCGATAAACGCGCCCGCTGGCTTAATTATGGCACGGCAACGGACGTTAAATCACCTCGTGATCGGATACCTGATTTCCCAATTCCGAGGAACGTCGAAAAACCGTGTCTCTTCAATTTCGCCGCGGGAACGAGTTTGCTGTTTGCTCGCCGTTCGTTAAACGCTACGATTTTCCTCTGGCAGCGGAGCAAATGGTAATCTCCGAATTGCTTCCCGACCGAAGGCGCGTTTGCTTCGAGGCTTGAAAAAAAATGAATCGCGCCGAGGCGCGTAATTTTCGTGCCTCTGCGATGGTAAAACGAGCCATTTCGTTTAGTCCGAGATCGCGGAAGGAAAGGCCGTCGACGAAGTCGCAGCGGTCGAGCTGCCGCGCGCTACCATCCCCGATTTTCATCTCTTGGACAGAGGCTACAGCATTTACGATCGAGACGACGACGACTCGTACGTTTTGTACGGCGAAGAGGAGTACGAGGAGAAGGCGATGGACGAGCAAATCGATGACTACCAGCCCATCGGGCTCGAAAGTATCCTTCACGGTATCTGCGAGTGTCTGGAGCCCGTTCGCGAGACGCCGCGCGTCCCGACGCCTCCTCCACCCGACCCTTTCGCCGAGTTTCTGAAAAGAATGAAACAGGAGGTAGAGGAAGACCGGCTGGAGACGCGGTTTCGAGTAGACGGAATCGGTGCACCGGTGTCGACAAATCGCATTACAGCGGTGACTGTGTGGCTGGCAGACTGCGGTCGTCGTCAAGACGGACTAGTCGGACCGCGAAACATCAGGCACTTTCTTTGTCCGGACCTCGAGGATCCCTGCAACGATAACGACTAGAGTCGGGTATGGACGGTATGGACGTTTTCGCGATTGTATACGTGCTCGATACGCTTCGACGTCGACGATGTATCGCGGTGAATCGCGATTCATCGCGATCGGTGCAGCGTTTATCGCGGATTTCTCGTTGGCTAGCGCGAGGCAGAAAGGGACACGTGTTGCTGGGATACGCGCGTTCATCCCTCTTTGTTCGTTCGTTATCTGAACTAACGAGCAATTTACGTGGCAGAGATCATTAAAATATATAGACGTTCGAATCGTGCTCGACCACCTCCATAAACCATCGATGCGTTTCGGCCGCACGCTCGCAACGTTTTATTTCGCACCGCGAAAAGTTAATAACCAACACGAAGCGCATGCACGCACGCTGTTTACCTTTTAACTTGCCGCATAAATTACGCTGGCCGGCAGTTAAATTTATGCGCGTCCCGTGCTATTCCGGATTCCTGTCACCGACTACGGGGATTCGTTCGAATTCGTCCACTTCCGGACTTGTTTTTCCGCGTTTCGAGTTTCGTTGGACGACCATTATCGTAGGTGGACGCGCGTTGATGGTCGCGCGTAATTTTCACGATTAGATGCAATGAAACTGGGTCGAAAAGGGGGAAGTCTTTCTCATATAAGCCCGTGGAACAGCAAAGTGCGCTCTTATACCCTGAATACCGCCGGAAGGAACCGCTTTTCGCCTTGCTTCTCGACATTTTCCCAAAGAGGCAGCTGCTCGCGAGCCTTAAGGTCTCGTTTTTCTCCACCTTCTTTTCCGCCTGCTGCTGCTGCTCTACCATCACGCGTGCGTCATGGGATCGTCGTCCGGGCTGGTCCTCTGGGCCCTCCTCTGCGTCGTCTGCGTTCACGCATGGGAGATTCAGTATAGGGAATTCGGAGAGGACGGTAACCTCCTAGATGATGGACCGACGGAGAGAATACAAATAATATTCCCAGGTAAGACGAAGGGAACGACAATGGCCGCATAGGGATATATATATATAGGGGGTGATGGAAGAGAGAGAGAGATCCGGACGATATCGGTGCATCGGTCGTTCGTTACCAGTTTTCGCCTCTTTCTCTCAAGCTTCCTTCCGGCAGGTACGAAATGGTGCGGAAGCGGTAACGTCGCGGAGAACCCGAACGAGCTGGGAAAGTATAACCAAACGGACGCGTGCTGCCGGACCCACGATATGTGCCCCGATTTAATGAGCTCCGGGGAGAGCAAGCACGGCCTTACTAATAAGGCCTTCTACACCAGGTTTCTTCGCAACTTTGTTCGTTTCTTCCTCGCTCTCCCGCAGTTCCCTTTAACGCGAAGCCCGCGGCATCGGTGCCGTGCTACGAGAGAAGTTTCTTTTCTGGCACGGTCGCGTCTCGAGGCAGCCGCTTTAAATTAGTTCTTCTTCCTCGAAGCGATGCTTTTTCTCGCTCCGCGTGCGCGCTTTTCCCAGGACGCCGCGTGTACTATACGAATCGGCAGCAGCAGCAACCACCGCCGCCGGTTTTCAGGTCTGACGCAACGTCTAGGCCGTTGAACGGTGGTCCAAGTTTTATCGTAGTTGCGAGCGTTGCGAGCGGAACGTTAACGATCGCGGTAATGCCGGGTTCGCGTGAACGCCCACGCGGAATTTTTCCCGACCGAATGTCCAGCGTTCGGTGAGAAATTGCGCGCGATTAGGCGTAACGTTGCGCGAGAGTTGTAGGCGTGCCTAGCCGGCTGCTACCTCGCATGAATCACTCGCCGTGAATATCGAACGGGGCCCGAGTCAAGATCAGAGGCTCTCGTTGCCCGTCGAATTCGCCAACGTTGGATAAATTGGTCGCGTGGTGCACAGGCTTCGCTACCGGCGGAAATGGGAAGCTGCTCCCTGCCTCGAGCAGTTGCTCTAATTGCCAACGTTTCGACAAATACCCGCGGCAGAACGAGGTCGAAACGTCGCGCGCTGTCACGGGGGGCAGAGCGAGGAGGAAACGGAAGAACGAATCGGGAATTTCTTAAACAGGTTAAGCTGCTCCTGCGACGATACGTTCCTCCTCTGTCTTCGCAAATCGAAAGACGGCATGGGCGGCACCGTAGGACGCATGTACTTTGACCTGCTGGGCACGCAGTGCTTCCGGCTGGACTATCCTATCGTGCGTTGCAAACGGAAGACCTTGTAAGTGTAATTTTACTCGACGTCTAAGCGCGGTTTTCCATCGATTCCACGGAATACCCGTGCAACCACGCGAGAGCGTTCGAAAACGAATTTCGTTTCGAAATCGAATTAATTCCAAGTGGACCGTTCCTCGCAGCTTTCGTAGACAATGTTTGGAGTACCAGCTGGACACGACCAAGTCGAAAACGTACCAGTGGTTCGACGTGCCGGAGTACTGAAATCGCGAGCGACTGGCAGTGCCACGACCATCATCGTCCCCGACCGAATGAACACTGTACCTCGAATGTGAAATAAAGTTACAGACAGTCTTGAACACGATCGCAAACGATCCGGATAACGCGCCCTATTAAACTTACGACGTCGCGTGAACGTCGACGAGCGAGATAAACGAATTCTTTACGCGTATATCACCACGCGGGTAAGGGAAGGGAAGAAGAAGAAGAAGGGAAAAAAGAAGGGCGAAATTACGTCGAAACGGAGAGAGCGAGGCAACGAGCGAGTAGCGTGAAAGATAAGCGAGGAGAGTTGAATTGGCCTCACCTTTCCGCGCGTTTTCCTCCATTTTGCTGGAGAGGGTGTGCGGGCAGCTGGCGCTTAGTGGAGGATTTCCCCGGAAATTTATGTCCGGATCGAGCGCAGCCGCGCCGCACCACGCCACGCCACGCCACGCCACGCCACGCTACACCACGCCACGCCACGCCTCGCCTCGCCTCGCCTCGCCTCGCTTCGCCTCGCCTCGTGCCGTCTCGCCTCGCCGATTTACAACTTCTCCCGCTTACCTGTGCGGACTCGGAACGCGCATAAGTACGCGAACTTTGTTTCAGCCTGGGAAATTTTCCAACTATGCTTTATCGAAACTGTCCCGTGACTCTCGATCAGCCCGGCGAAACGAATTTTTCGATTTATCGAACGGGGACGCTTGCGAGCCGGCCGATACCGCTACGAAAATAACGTCGTATCTGCGAAATCGTGGATATTTCTACACGACTTTCCACTCGAACTTTTATCTGGCAAATCTTTATCGCGACACGCTGCAGGCAGGCAGCGCGAGATTCCCCTGTGTAATAAGCCGGACAGCGCGCAGCTTCCAAAATCGAACAGCGCGATGTTCCTCCGAGTTGCAGCTCTTCCGTACTCGGGGGATTCGCCGTGTTCGTTTCTATGTTAATTCAACGCGGCCTATAAATCCCGGAAATTACTCGCTTGTAATACAAACACTCGGGCGTATCGTGAATTTATTAAGGCGTCAAGTGAAATGCGCGCATCCCGTTGAATTAATTTCGTCTAGTTACGCGCCGGGAAGGTGGCCAGCAGCGATGGTCGCGCATTTCCACGAAACTGCCCGCACCGATGGGGCGCGTCGATGGAAACTTTGTACGTCGGATAAATAAAATGGACACGACTTCTCGCAAGGCGCGTTAAAAGGTGTAATAAAAAATACCTTTAAATATTTTACTGCCCTAACCAGTTATGTCCGTACGCTTTTCGAGAGCTGCGATTCGACGATAACGAACGGGGGGAAAAAAAAGAAGTATCGGAAAAAGAAGAAAGAAAAAAAAAGAAAGAAACGAAAAGGTAATAAATCACGGAGATAGGAGTTTAATCGAAAAACCGTGGAAACGACTAGAATTGTAGTCGTGGCACATCGACCGATCGTCCTTCGATCTGGAATATTTTTTCACTCCGTGTCCCGGTCGTGGTCAGTGATGCGAATGGTGGTTTGATTTCAGACGTGGCGGCCTCGGTGGAGTTCCACTTCGAGAACAAGGACGGCGGATTCTTTCTGAAGCACATACCGAGGCAGTACTACCCCGTCAGAGGGGATTCCATTCCGGCGATATCTCCGTCGACGGGGACATTATCCAACGGAGTGTCATCTCCGCCACCGGGCTCCGTTTTCTCGATAGACAAATTCACGGTGTTTCAGACGAGCGAACCCGTGTCCGTTCGAGCGATCTATGGACCGTTTAGCACGAAGCAGACCGTACCGGCACGCTACATAGTTCCGGATCCGTTGGACGCGTTGCCTGGCCCGGAAACGAGGCGAAACCTGACGGCTGCTACGATTCTGGACGCGCAGGAGTTGGGCGCGCGTCATCTGGACATGTCCGCTCATCTGGTTGGGAACAGCGTGCCGCGTGACTCGCCCGTCCTAAGAGTACTTTTTCATGCCGGAAGCGAAGCCGGTGGAAGGCGTCAGTTGTTGCTCGCCCGACATCAAAGAGTCTGCGTGGTCCTGCACGCGAGCCTGGCCACTCCGTCGAGAAGTACCGCCAACAGGAACAACGGCAGAAGCTACTCCTCCTCTTCCTCCTCCTCCTCTTCCTCTTCTTCCTCCTCTTCCTCCTTCTCTTCCTCCTCCTCCTCCTCCTCCTCCTTCTCCTCCAGTTCATCCTCCGGTTCGGCGCTAACGGCAGCCTGCAGTCCCGATGGAGAGAACGGAGTTTGCCTGGCGCAGATCACCATACCTGCCGATTGGTGGGCACCGTTACCTCCTCCGGACGCTTCCGGCCGGGTCAAGGTCGCCAAGAGCCTGCCCAGGCTCGTGCAGGTCGCTTACTCGGTGCTGGAGCCACGGACAGAGGAGGCTGGCACGCCTGACAACGGGGCTGGCTTCTGTAGGCCCAGAGTTCAGATCCAACCCGTCACGCCGCTCGGTCAGGTGCCCCTGTCTCCGAACCGGGTCGATTACAAGGAGCTCAAGGCCGACGATTCGTTGACTCTATTGGTACCCCATGGTCCCCTTTATCCGAGGTCTCGGTTGCACGTTCCGGCGTTCCTGCATCCGTCCAAGACTACCGATTCGAGGCAGGAAAGGTCACCGGTCGTCATCGCCGTTTACCTCAGGTGAGACAGAGATCCCCCCGTCCTCGTTATTAATCCCTCGCGCGTAATCGCACGGTCGCCGCGAGTAGCCGCGATAAAACGGTTTCGCGTCGCGAGGTAGTTGAAAATATTTTACACCGGGGATCTCGGCGGACGAGAAGCGATTTTCCCTCCCAACGGGAAGTTAGTTACGTAATAACGAATTAGCGATAACGGCGGAGTGGCCGGTTGCAGCTTTCGCCGGCGTTGCTCCGATTCGTTGCGTTCCTTTTTCCGCGTAGTTACGAGCCGTTGGAAAAGTAATTACGAAAAAGACGAAGCACTTTTCGCAACGGGAAAACTTGGCTGACAACGTGGCTCGGGATTGCACGCGGAGTCAAAACGTTTGCGAGGCTTTTTCGTTCCGCTCCCCTCCGCGTGACCCGCGGTTCAAGTTCAAGACAGTCGCTGCCGGAACACGCTTGGCAACTCGCGTTTCGTTTTTCGTTAATACGCGCAGCTGAACGGTGAAAACGCGCGAAGAAATATACGGCAAAGACCGAGTTGAAATTCACTTTGCTCGCTTGTTCCCTTTTTGCGGGATCTCGCGTTCGCGCGCGAGTCAACGTACGTCCTCGAAAACTGTTTTAGTGCACCCCCGGGGGAGTGGCGGGCGGTCTCGGGGAAAAACTGGGACGGGGAGGAGAAGCGGGACAAAAATTTTCTAATTGGACGAGTCGTCAAGCACGCCGCGTAAAGTTACAACTTTTCCATTGTTAGTAAACTCTCTAGCAGTTTCCTGCTCCTTGTCCTCGCCGTCCCGTTCGTTCGTTCTCGCATAAGCGATTCGCGGCACGGTAATCGGTCCCCGACCACTCCGAACAATTTCACCGTGACCTCTTTTCCCAGTCGACATCGTTGCCTGATAATTGCTATCGAGTCCGATTCGCTGCGAAACGCTAAGTTCACGGGTCACCCGGACCGTCGGCCCGATTTTTCCCAACGCGAACGACCCTCGTCCCTCCTCGAGGGGGACGAACAAGAGGTTTCGCGTCGTCTCGTTACCTCGCGTACTTTCTCGAACGGAGAAACGAAACTTTCGAGGTCCTCGTAGGATTCCGACGAGTCCATTGGCCGAATCGAATCAATTTCCACGGGGCAATTTTTTCCGTTTCGATTCCGTCCGAACGTAGCGCGCCGCGATTCGTAGGCGAGATTAGGAGATTACGAAGATCAGGGGGCAAATAGCTCGGACGAAAAACAATTTTCGCGAAAGGATTCGCACGAAAAGTCTATTTAGGCGAATTAGCCTATTCCCTAACGAGGAATCAAAAGCGCCATCGTCGTCTCGACGTGCTTGCAAATTCGATTGCGAGCGTAGTTTACACGCGCTATTCAGCCTCGGCCGAGATAAAAGAATTTTTGCTCGCCCGGTTTCCTCCGGTCTTATCTGAAAAACGTCGATTTATTTTTCGTACCGTGGCCTCGAAGCTTTCTCGAAGTATCCTCGTTTTATTTTTACGATATCGGCTCCCATGTCAGCCAGGAATTTTATATAATCGGTGCTCGCTCGCGGCTAGACGTTTACAGCTGTACCATCCGCGATTATCCGTAAATCCCGTGACTCCGATCCGCTCGCGAGTACCTCGCGCGTCTCGCGACGGGACCGTGCGCCGATCGGCGCATCGGGCGTTTTCTCCGTTTCGACGGTAATTATCGGGCGAATTATCGGTAGCGGGACGTAGCTTAATCGAGCGAGGGTTTCTCTCGACGGCGGGAGACCGGGAAAACGTCGTTTCGTTTCGGGATCGATCACGAGCCGGTACCGGTGATGGAATAAATCGTGGCCGTTACGCCGACATCGATCGTTCGTCAACGCGATCCGGAAAGCTTGCCTCCGCCTGTCGAGATCGGCGCGATAACCGACCGCTTTGCACGTCGCCGATTTGTATGTAAATGGCAACCGATGGCCCCGCGGAAATAACTCGATTGGAACTCGTAATTGCATCGACGGAATGCCGGTTGCCTGCGAGCACTGGACAGAGGGTCGCGTTGCGCGTGGAGGGCGAGCTAAGCTTCCCGGCAGCTATTCTCTTCCGCGTCGCCGGTTCTTTTCAAAAGCCGGCCAATTCTTGTCTCTCCCTATCGGCACACCGGCGAGTTTACCCTTGCCTCGGCTAGAAAGCGGCTAGCCTTTTCGCTCGCGCGTGAATATCGCGACTAACCGGCGTACTCCCGCAACCTTTCGCAACCCTAATTTGCCCCTAACGCGGACTTAACTCGATTAGCCGGGGAAGCTCGGGGGGGTCGGTTTGCTTCGAATAATCGGCCTCGGCCAGGTGTAATTCGATTTGAAAAAATCGCGTTCTCGTTCCCCTTGACCAGAGTCTGGTTCGGCAGCGCCTATCATCGATCAGCCGAGCTGCTTGGTTCGCGGGAACGAGGCCGAAGCGGAAGACTTACTCGCCCGGCGGGCCCGCAAATCGAATCTGCAGCTTGTTTTGCATCCTCCATCGAATTAACCACCGTTTTGCCCGACCCCGTAGCTCCGCGCGGTGCCGCTAGACGCTGTTTGCTCCGGGGAGACGGTCTCTGGATAATTCACGGGACCGATGGTCCGCGTCGTGCACCACGCCGCTACCGCGTATCGATTTCGCGGAGCCGCTACTTTTCCAAAGCTCGCGTTTTCCCGGAGCATCAAAAATACGCCGATTCGCGGGGAAAACGCGCGAAAATAACGGCGGAGGAATGATTCGTTCCAATTACGGTTCGGCTGGCGTGCAACGAGGAAACCGGGAGTATTACCTGACCCCAAAGCGAAGAATAACGACGTTGAACAAACGTCGAAAATCTAGCTGCGCGTTTTTCGCCGGTAGCGAAAGGGAGGAACGAGGATGCCGCGCGGTTGCGTAAAATTTCATCCACGTCGGGTCTCGAGTCGAATTCGCAAAAATTCCCTACCTCCGGCGTTGCGTCCTTTCGTACACCGGATAACACTGGACTCTCTCCCCAGTGGATGCAAGACCGGTGCGCCTCGTTTCCCGCGCGAACGACCGGCGAACAATAACTAGGCGATACTCGAGCGATAGCGCGAGGCGAATCGCGCGAGCGAGAAGAGGAGCGGAGTAAGAGAGAATCGCGTAGATATTTATCTGGCGTGGCGTCGGATAGACGGCGAGCATCCTCGCGCATCGTAACTTCCCCGTAACACCGACCCCGTGACCCGGTCACGTAACTGGAGCGTGAATTCTCGGGAGCAAAGACTCGGAGAGAGAGAGAGAGAGAGAGAGAGAGAGAGAGAGAGAGAGAGAGAGAGAACGTAGGCGAGCCGGCGTCGCGACGCCGGGCAAACGTCCTTTCGAGTGGCCACGACCACCGCGAGCTTTTTCCACCCGTTTCGCGAAGCTCGCCGATCGACTTTACCCTGGGTTGGACGCGAGAAAATTCGTTCGTAAGGTCCGAAGACCGCGATGGCCGCGGCGAAGATCGTCTAGGGGGAATACGCTTCCCTTTGACGGCTGTCGCGGCGTTTAATTACGACGGGGATTAATATTCCTTCTTTTTCCCTTTTCCGACGACGAGGATTAGGCGGTGGCGCAGGCGATTCGCGCGTAACACGTCGCTCCGCTAATTAAAACGCATTAGAGGAGCGGTTCGCCGGCGAGGACTGCCGAGGACTGCCGTTAATCCGCGTTTTCGGGACGTTTTAATTACGTCGGCTGCCGATGCAGTGCGTACATCTCTCATTATTAACTTCTCGATATTGCGGCTCGCCAAGCGTGTGCCAGTCTCCACGGAGCCGATCGTTTAAATTGCAATCTTGCGCAGCAAACCGCGACGCGACGGCCGCCGGATGAACGATTGCCCGCATTTCTGCGGCATCGCTGAACACCGGGGGACGTCTTTCGCCGCGCGATATCGCTCGAAACTCGAAGCGACGTTATTTCGTTGAAAACCATGCGAGAGAAGCGTCATCCCGCTCGACCAATCGACCCGCCACCCTCCGCCTCTCGTCTCTCGCCTCTCGCTTCCTCGCCCCGCCGTTTCAATTCTTTCGATTAATTTTTACCCAATTCTCTTTCATCCGGATTTTTCCGCGTTATTGATATTCCGCGACGTCACGTCCGATATATCTTTGTTATCGCGTCATGCTCGCGCTTTTACACAGGATGACCCTCGACCCGTAATCGAATCGGACGAGCGAAAAATATTTTTCAAACACGCGCAAACAGGAACAGGCGAGGCAGATTTTCTAGCTCGCGTTACTGCGAATCACTCGCGTTCGAGGGGCACGTCGAGTGGATGATCGACGTCGCGCGCCATCGCTGCGGGGGAGGGAAAACTCGCGATATATAGGCTGCCTGGATTCCAGGCAAACGATTTGTCTAAACGAAGCCCGTTCCCATGAATAGCCACCTTCGTCGGCCGTATTTTATCGCGCTCGAGAAAATTCAATTTCCAATCCGGCACTTTGTAATCGGGAGGATAAGGCTCGCGGTGCGACCCGATGCGTCGAGAACGAACGAGGATGATTCGTACACGCCGCGCCGTATTTTCATTCGCGCGCACATTTACCGGGCCGAACTTTTCCTTTTCCGCGGCATATTGCGACGGATATTGCGAGGGGAGACGAAAACGACGCGACTGGGGGGAGAAATAAAAATATTCGTACGGAGAAGTTTAAAGGAGAGGAGAGGTTTGGCGCAACGACGGCACTCCGGGGGTGGTTGCATCGCGGACGAGGGCGTCGCGCGGTTGCAACGACGAGCGCGAGAACCGTGGCGAGGGTTGAAAGTGTGCCGCGTTCAGGCTAACGGGCTAGACGCGATCGAACGGAAATCCGATAGGTACGCACGAAGAAGGTGACGCTTCGTTTGCAGCCGGCTAGGATAATTGAAAGAACCGAGGGGCTGGAAAAGTCGACGAGGTGTGCCCGGTCGGTCGCATTATTCCAAGGAGTTGAGCCGATAATTGCCGGGCCGTGCATCGATCGCGCGCGCGAGAACCGAGCTCACGGTTATCGGAAAAAGTAGCGCCGGAGAATTATTTCACCCTTGAACCCGTTCGCGGCTCCGTCTTTTCCGCGTTCGAACGCTTCCCCCTTTTCTTTTCGCCTTCCGTTTTCTATTTTCCTCGCCTCCTTTCATCCGTTTGTCTCCATCGCCGCGTTTTAATCGCCGAGTTTTTTCTCCCCCTCGCGATATCCCCGAGTCGTGAGGGGAATATTTTCCTCGGCAACCGCCACCGATCGAAATCGCGCGTTATTATCTCCGATTCGCGGAACAGACGGCGCCAACCGAACGATCGAGTTATCGACGTCGCCATTAACGTCGCTCTAATCGAGTATGTTTGACGAATGTTTCAGGGCCAGGGTGAAGTCCGGCGTGAAGATCTTGGACGCCTCGTCGAGTAATCCGGACTGGATCGTGGACAGCAAGATAAACGCGAAGAACACGATCGCTACCTTCATCGCCAGGCGAAAGGAGAATGCCTCGCGATTGCCAAGCGCGTAAGTGCGTCACGATTTTTCCGACCACGCTTTCCTTATCTTCGCCGTTATTTTTTGCCCCCCTCCCCGTAAAAATCCAACGACTGACTCGAGGTCGGAACGGGAAATGAAAACTAGTCGTGAGACGTGTGTAATTTTCCTTTATTGCGACAATTTTTCGAAAAGAGATACGTCGGCGCGCGCGATACATACGTGGATAAGCGGACGCTTACGACGGATATTAAAAACCGCGACGCATTTTACATGGTTGGATCGTCGAACGGCGAAATACGGTCACGGAATTCGCGCTATCTGAGAAGTAATGCGCGGTAAACAACATACGTATTGCGACATTCGACGCGTTTCTTTCCCTCGTCAACATGGCCATAGGATGTACCCCGATAACTTTTCTTCTCAGCTCGTGCAATCTTCCCGAATTTCCTCGTTTTCCACGGATCAAGTACGAAAATTATCTTCTACGCTAGAGGCTGCTCGTTGAGCTTCGATCAACTGTGTTACAGCCACGGTTTAGTTTTCTCCTCGGAAGAGGACTTGCTCACCGAAACATTGCCCTGTCCATCAACGTCCCTCTTGTACTTTCTCCTCTTGCACCCTTTCCCTCCGTTGTCGTCGTCGTCGTCGTCGTCGCTGTCGTCATTGCCGTTGCAGCCGCCCTTTTTCTTCGACTTCTTGCCTTTCTTGCAATCATCGTCATCGCTGCTATCGTCGTCGTCGTCGTCGTCGTCGTCGTTGTTCTTTTTCTTCGACTTTTTGCAATTATCGTCATCGTCGTCGTCGTCGCTGGAAGAACTGCTGCTACTGCTGCTACTGCTGCTACTGCTGCTGCTACTGCTGCTGCTACTGCAGTCGCGGTCGTCGTCATTTTTCTTCTTGGCCGATCGTTCCAGCCTCGCGGGAGGTTCTTCCTCTTCCTCTTCCTCTTCCTCCATCAACGTCTCCACGACATCCGTCACTTCTCTCTTCGCTTTTCCAGCTTTCCCAGTTTTCTCCTCGCTACTGCTGCTGGATTCCTCGCTGGAGGAGTCCGGGGTCTTCTTCGCGACCGCCACGTTCGCCTGAACTTCCGGTACATTCTGCTGCGCCCTCGGTTTCGCCTCGTCGGCCACTGGCTGAGCCTCGATGAAGATCGTGGAGGCCAGCACGGCGGACAGAGCGATGATTATTAACGCGATGGAACGCATGTCGTGCTCTCGATGATATTTCACCGGCTCGATTCGCGATATCGAACTTGTTCGGTTCGTCTGCTCCGGCGGTCTTATATAGCGGTTCCGACCGGGCGGCTGATAAACTCTCGATCGAAAGAAGGACTGACGTATCGAGCAGGGAGCAGTGGTACTCATGGGGAACGCGGATGCCGATAGGTCGCTCGCCCGGCCAAGATTAATCCGTTATTGGATTATCGTCGGATCGCGATACAACCGCGCGCCGATATTTCTCGTAGACGTGATCTCGAGTCGTGGTAAATTGCTTTACTCCTCGAGACGATACTCCACGTTCGTTTCTCTCGTCTCTTCTCGCAGTGAGCGCGGCTGCGTCGTAAAAGTCTAACGTATCGACGTAGCCGAATAGCGGTCGTCTTCGCTCTCGCGCT